CCTCCGTTATTAAATAAAATGCAACATATGGAATTTTACACCTGTTGAGGTTTATTCTTTAAACCTTTGAGTCAAGCACGTAACACTAAAGATTTCGAGTGGATTGTTTATGTGTGGGTGTATAACAAATCCAATAAACAAGTAAGATGAGCTAAGAAAGTGATTAGCAAGTAAATGACCGGATATTATTAATGATAAATAACGCCCCGATACAATATTCTTGTCAAAGCCAACTTACATCCTCCAAATAACTGTCTGATCGATTCTGATGGTCCTTAGGAATGGAGTGTCATTCTTTTTAGGTAAAGTTTGTAGCTTTTAGTATTAATTAGTCATATTTTTTCTTTTAAAACATCTTTTCATCTACTTATGCCAAATATACATATAACAATATAATATAATATAATATAATATAATATAATATAATATAATATAATATAATATAATATAATATAATATAATATAATATAATATAATATAATATAATATAATATAATATAATATAATATAATATAATATAATATAATATAATATAATATAATATAATATAATATAATATAATATAATATAATATAATATAATATAATATAATATAATATAATATAATATAATATAATATAATATAATATAATATAATATAATATAATAAAATATAATATAATATAATATAATATAATATAATATAATATAATATAATATAATATAATATAATATAATATAATATAATATAATATAATATAATATAATATAATATAATATAATATAATATAATATAATATAATATAATATAATATAATATAATATAATATAATATAATATAATATAATATAATATAATATAATATAATATAATATAATATAATATAATATAATATAATATAATATAATATAATAAGACCATTAATGATAATAATGATATTATAAATGTATTATTTTTTATATTTGATGGTGAATTTAATTTTTAATAGTATTAATTATTTTTTCAAATAAAAATGAAAAGCTTGACTGTCAAAAAAAAAATGAAAAGCTTTGGATGAAATATACTCCGTAAGACCATTTGTAGTGGTCAAGACTCAAGAGTCTAAATTGTTAAATTTGGACTCCGTCCATATGAAAACAATGTTTAGACTCCGTCAATACTATATTTCTTTGCATCCGTGCACCGTCAATAAAATACAATCAACATTTTTTTACATATCAATTTATTAAAACATTAATTAATTTATTATAAGTAATGTTTTACTTTTAATATTTTCCCTAAATAATTATGAATTAAAAAATACACATTTCGATGTAAAAATAAATATATTTCATTAATTTTTTTTATCATTTTTCGGTTAACAAAAATGAACTTAGTTCAAGTAAAGTTCGATTATGAAATATTCAGCTATTTGTGGATGCTTTATGAATTAAAAAATTGTGATTCATGTTTTTTGAGGCTCAGAAAAACTTCAACGGTTAAAACTTGATATTTTTTTTAATTTTATATATTTTACGGAGTATATTGGTGTCATATGAAAGATCACGAAAATTTATTAATTTTGATATGGTTTTTGAAAAATTTGGAATACAAATAAAAAAATTACTCCCTCCGTCCCATTTTGGTTGTCTAATTTTCCTTTTTGGATTGTCCCAAAATGAATGTCTTGTTTCCTTTTTTGGCATGAAATACATGGTTCTTATCAATTCACTTTATTCTACTCAAATCACAACCACAACTTTTATTTTTCAACCACTTTATTAATAATCGTGCCAAATTGAAAATGGACAACCATTGTGAAGGAGGTAGTATAAGAGTTTTAAAAAATTGAGGTCTAATGACACAAGGATGACTTCATCATTTGAGAGTCAATCCACCCTCTATTAATAAGACCCTCAATGCCCTTACCCACTTTTAAGACCTCTCTCAATCCTCCACTACACACATTTAGGAGTCCAAAAATTCCATTTTTAACTTTTTGGACTCCTAAAACCTTCTCACTCCAAATGGTGTAAGAGATAGATGAGAAGTTTAAGATAAAATGAATAAAATTGGATAAAATTGAGTTGATGGGAAGTGTAACGTTAAATGAATTTCTCCCATTTCTGATTTGTCGTGGTGTAGTGGCCCAGCTTTTTCGCATACCGTTTCAAATTCTATCATTCCTGGAGGCTACTGGCTAGAACCCTACTACTCCATCCCATTCCATTCCATTCCCAGTTAATTTCTCGATATATATCTAGCTTGTTATCACAGCAGCCCCAACCAAGCTTCTGATCTGCGTTGAGCCATGTCTAAATCAAAGGTCTCCTACAGCCATGGACGCCGTGGCGGCGGAAGCGGCTGCAATCCTTTCGGCTGCTGCTGCGGCTGCCTCTTCAATTGCTTCATCAGCTGCATCTTCCAGATCTTATGCACCCTCCTCGTCATCATCGCCGTCATCGCCGTCATTGTCTGGCTCATCTTCCGCCCCAACGCCCTTCGATTTTACGTCGATAACGCCTCTCTCACCCAATTCGATTACTCCGCCTCCAGGAACACCCTCAATTACAATCTCGCCGTGAATATGTCAATACGCAACCCTAACAAGCGAATCGGCGTATACTACGACAGCATCGAGGTGAGGGCACTGTATGATAACCAGAGATTCTCTGTCGCGAATATAGACCCGTTCTTTCAAGAGACTAAGAACACTTCTAACATTCAATCAGTGTTTAAAGGCCAGAATCCGCTGCCGCTGGGGGACAGTTCAGAGTACAGTAGTCAGAAGAAAAATGGGGGTTTCGAGATTCAGTTGAAGCTGTATCTGAAAGTCAGGCTGAAGTTTTGGCTGATTAAATCTAAGAAAATCAAGTACTCAATTGATTGCGATCTCAACTATGTTCCTCTGATCTCCAATGGCACATCAGCCGGTGATTTTGAAAGAACAAGGTGCCATCTTCATTGGTAGCTTCTTCAGGATATATATTCTTTATGCTAATGGTGAAATAATCTCCGTCCTTAGTTCATAAGGTTTCTAGATTCGTTGGTATCTGTTTTTCCCTTGTTGCAGTTAGAGCGTATTTTTATTGATAAATTCTCCATAAAGATCTCATCCTAATTTGCATTTCAAATTGTTAGAGAATCCCAATCAGTTCGTTATTTGTATTTTGTGGAATATGAAGGTTATAGGATCCTGTCTAGCCCTTGCAAAAGACGCTCACTGGACTATGTGATCTCATGCGTTTTAAATCTCTTACATATGTTAATTTATGAATCGGTGGGGCTGTCGAATAAGAATGATATAATGATGGCCTATTACCCAAATTATATACGGAGTACTTTAGGTTCATTGCAGTATCTTAAAACTTCAAGAAGTCTAATCCTGTCCCAAAAGGCGGAATTGTGTTGCCAACTTCATGTGGAGAGAAGGCAAATCTGATAGGGACACGGCCAGCACGAGTGAGATTTTGAAAAGGTAAGGAGCAGAATTGATAACTTATGACCCGTTGGGTGAGGGTTGCCTAGGCATGGACCAGGACCGGTCTGACCAGCCCGGTACCCGGCCCGGACCGCCACTGTGCGGTACTGGCCCGGTTGACCAGGATCGGGCCTTGGACCCGTACCGGGGGGCTTTTGGGGGCAGGCTCGGACTGCAGCCCTCTTGGAATCGGCCGGTCCGGGACCAGTGCGGGCCCAAAATGTTTTTTTATCTTATTTTTTCAAACGGATTAGGTAAGAGGCGGGTTGGGCTGGGTGGTTTGGGGGTGGGGTAGGAATCATTAAGAAAAACCACATTTTAAAAAAATATAGGCTAAAGGGTCAAATAGGTACATGAACTAACCTAAAGTGTTCAATTAGCCCCTTATATAGGAGTTTCTGCCCGGACGTCGCCAATTGGGGCGGTTCCCGGTGGAATTTTTTGATGAATTTTTTTGAGCATCTTCTTCATTAAGTCTAGTGTACCCAGACCAAATTTCAGCTAAAAATTCAACCGGGAAGGCAGTCGAATGATTTTCTGAAAAATTAAACAGCGCAGTACATTTCGGAAAATCATTCGACTGCCTTCCCGGTTGAATTTTTAGCTGAAATTTGGTATGGGTAAACTAGACTTAATGAAGAAGATGCTCAAAAAATTTCATCAAAAAATTACACCGGGAACCGCCCCAATTGGCGACGTCCGGGCAGAAACTCCTTTATAAGGGGTTAATTGAACACTTTAAGTTAGTTCATGTACCTATTTGACCCTTTAGCCAAAAATATATAAGACCGACCCAGTGCCGACCCGGTTCCGGAACCTACCTGGGCCGGTATCAGGCCTAATGCCCAAAAATTTTGACCCGCCCTAGACCCGACTTGGACCCGGTCCCGACCCAAGCCTGGTCCACCCCTAGGGTTGCCCAATGGTGCTCAGAAGTCAGAAAGGGAAAAGAAGAGTTGGAAACATAAGTTAGAACCCCTTTGGTCAGGGTTTTTGGACTGTGATATGGCTGATGTATTGAAAAATGAAAATCTTCTCATGGAATCAATTTTGGTAAAATCCCTTTCTGTCAAATAAGTAAATCAAAACTTCAAAAGCAACTACCTTTGTTTTTTTCTGTGGATAAGCAATCCGCAAACTAAGCAGAACCAAATAGGCTGTTAGGCTCTATGAGAGAGGAAGAAGGGAAGAGTTGAGAAACTTACATGCTTTAAGTTGCATTGCCTCGTGATCTGCTACTAGGTTATCTTCTTTTAGGGTCTCTTTCGTAAACGTAAATAGGTGTCTTTTGTTAGTGGCTGTGGGAGTGGCCATGTTTTTCTTGTTTACACCGTTTTCTGTCCCGGTAGTAGAATACTACCTTGCTAGACATAAAGATTTATTGAATTTGAAAATGGTACATAACATTTACATAAAGCTTTATTGGATTTGAAATGGTATATAACATTTACATAAAGCTTTATTGAATTTAAGAATGGTACATAACATTTAAAAAAAATACAACACTTACTCATTATTGGCGTCAAATAAGAGGTACTTATACACCCACCCCATCCCACCCCTACCAACAATCCTAAGAGCCATTGCAGGAAGATCTCCCCCCCCCCCTCCAACAGCTATATTGACTTAGTCAATAGGAAACAAGAAATAAATATAAACGAGCCATTGTGACCAAACCAGGACTGAACCATCCCCAGTCGCACCCAATAGCTAAGGCTCGTGATCGGTCTCCATAAACCACCCTGGTACCAGTCTTATAATTGAACTGCTCCGCCCGTCCTGGTTTGATAATAAGAACCGACAGATTCCGGTTCAAACCGGTCCGGGGATCGGGACCATGTCCACTTCTAGCCTCAATTATTTGTGTAGTCGCGATTATGAAGTCAAGAAAGTGAATGTTGAGTAACTCAATAAGAAATGAACTTGCTCCGAATAGACCACCAATGGGTCAGATTTGGGTTGGTGAAGGTCCTCCCTCATCCATCCATCACCCGAATCATCCTTCACTCATTAAGTTTCATCCACAAACAATTCATCCATCATTTGTGATTTATTCAATAATTTAGCTCTTTTTCATATAATTTATTCTTTAAATATTCATAAAATGTATTTTTAAAAAATCCCATAACTCAACGGATTTGGCGAATTTTACTCGATGTTATCGACTCGATTCGTAATCATGTTAAAGAGGGATACTTGAATGCTTTGGTACCTTTTCTAAATAAGAAATTTAAAGTCTGGAGCACAATGAAATTAAATTATAGAACTTCTTTAAGAAATAGTACAAATTAAATGGTCATTATATATATAAGCATTTCCAATGCAAGAACTTGCATGATGCACAAGTGTCACCACTCACCAGAGTGAAGGACACATAAAAACAAGGAATTTTATCAATCCGGGACTCAAAAGATATATTGTATGAATTATCAATCCGGGATCTGAAAGATGAAATATATCGGTATAGGACCTGAATGATGAAAAACTATCAATCTATGACCTAACATTTCATAGGTTTTGATTTATTTAAATTTTTATTAATTCCATTGCTAATATTTGACGAATTTTTTTCACAAAATTTATTAGTTTAATAAACTAAATAATATTTATTTTTAAAAAAATTAAAAAATTATTAAATTTATGAAAAGTTAGGTCATGTATTGATATTTTTCAATCATTTGGATCCTAGATTGATAGTTTTCCATTATTGGGGTCTCATATCAATAACTTTCATCTTTCAAGTCCCGAATTGATAATTGATTTATGTCTTGGATTGATAAAATTCCTAAAAACAAATGAATGACATTCCTATCTTTTTCAATAATGTCTACATCTAGATATTATTCTTGAAAATGTAGAGAAAAACTTACTAAAATCACATAATAAGGAGAAAAATATTTTCTTTACTAATATTTATGTGTCTTTTTCTCTCTTGCCACATGTGACACGCGGTATTATGTAATTATATGAAGTAAATGTTATCAATATAGTTAACGTCCACAATGCGTTCAAACCTATCATAGCATTTGTTCTATTCTAAAGCCAACATTTTTTAACTGAATGAGATTTGGACTCGTAACCTCCTCATTGACAGTGTTACAGTGATGTTATAAGACCACACGATATTTGGCGATAATAAACTAAGTTAACATTCGTTATAATTATATTCCATTAAAATATTTATTTCTAAAAATAAATAATTAAGTAGGTAAAAGTAAGATTTATCTCCTATTTTGTCCACCACTATTATGACAATCCTTTCCACGTGTATTTTTTTTAGGAAAAATGGACAAGAATAATCTCAACTATTAATTATCTGTTTGAAATAATCCAAAGTATCCATTATATCAAAATAATCCAAACTATTGAAGAATATTCTCAAAATTCCGGTGACTTATAATTTCCATAAATAACTTATAATATTCATGAGTAAGTGAAGTACTTTGAGAACAAAATTTAATAGTTGAAATTATTTTAAGATAATTGATACTTTAGATTATTTAAAACAAATCACTAATGGTTGAGATTATTCTTATCCATTATTCCTATTTTTTTATCGTTAACTTTCCTTTTTCTACCGAATGATTGATGATGGGTATTTTGAAACTTGTAATATTACCGACCATCAATAGGTATTTTTTTTTTTTGTGAAAAGATAGCCGGAAGAATACAAGAGACAAAATATCACCAGGTACCGATTAAGGGTAGAAAAATAAAAGTCAAAGATAAAGAAAAAGTTTTGTTTTAATTAATAATAGGAGGCTAAAAACGGAATTAAATCCATCACTTAAGAAAAGGGCAACGCAGCGCCAAATGTCACCTGCCGGCGGCCGGCGGCGGCATGATATTTGAATGTAATCGAGCCGGTGAGGCCGAGGGAGTGAAATAAGACGGCGAAGTGCAGGGGGTACAGAACGGCGTCGTTTCTACATCCACACGGCTATCATCGTCATTTGCGCGGACAACCTGCGGTTCCATGTCAAAACATTGCTCCAAGCTCCTCCCGCCGTCTTCGCCGCCATTCTTTATTATCCGTTTTGGAAGACCCTTCTCCGCGGAGTTAGAACACACCGATTCCAAGTCTTCCTTTTCTTCTTCCTTGATCGTGAACAGAATCTTTGAGGGGCCGTGAAGGCCCCCGGAAAGCTTCAGCAGATCGACGAGATCCATCTCCGGTGGCTCAGGGGTGGGCCAGGTCGACTCGTGGAGACTCATCGGGGTGGCGCTGGGTTCAACCCGGGAGGCGTGCGTGTCAGTCCCGAGGCAGAAAAACATGAAAAGCACTTTCGAAGCCGATGAAGATGTAGGCGCTCGTTCAGCATCGCCGGTGACTGGAAGGTCGGTACATCGGCGGCGGCGGCGGTGGCAGAGAACAAGAATGAGCTGAGCAAAGAGAGCTAAAAGAAAGGCTACAAAGACTACGGATAGTGCCGTGCCTAGTTTGGTCACACCAGCAGCCATCTCTGAGCTTTACTGACGGTGGCGTTTGGAGACAGCCATTAAAGAGGTTGGGAGTTTTTTTGAGTCGTCACTGAGAAGTCGATTGCTCCTTCCAACGGATAAATTTCTTTGAAACAGAGGAAGGAAAAGCGTGCAGGAGTGAGAACGACAAAGACATAAATGAGTGTGACGTGGATTAGCTAATTTATTTTCGGCCAGGGAAATGGAAATTTTAGCTAGGGATACCCAATCAGGTTTACCATTCGGTTCTACTCCGTACTCCTCCGGATCTTTTTAAACTTCATAGTTTGATTTCACATTGATTAATTAAATAAATTTGACTTTATTGTAGAGTGCACTATTTGACACTGTTTGACACTGTTGAGACACTGTTTGGCACTGTTGAGACACTGTTTGGCACTGTTGAGACATTGTTTAACACTGTTTTGATGTATATTTCTTTGCCACATAAGGAAATAAGGAAGTGTGAAGTTTATTTTGGACCGTCCCAAAAAGGAAACAGTGAAGTTTAAAAAGAACCGGAGGGAGTATTTGTTTTTATTCAAACGAATTACTCCCTCCCTATTTATATGTTCCCTACATACATTTGTTTTTGGCACAATATTTTAGGATATAATAGTAAAAGTAGTGAATAGTGTAGAAAAAGTAGAAAAGAGTGTGTAAAATTATGAAAGAGAAGATAAAAAGTAGATAAAGTAAGGGTAGTTGAGTATTTTATAAAGGATAAACTTACTAAAAATAGAAGTGTAGAGAACTTTTAAATCATCCCAAAAAAGAAAATGTAGGAAACTTTTAAATACATCCCAAAAAAGAAAGTGTAAGAAACTTTTAAATAAGGAAGGAATATGTAAAATGCATATTGTAATCTAAGTTACCTAACATTGATATGAATGTAATGTGTTATTCTCATCACCAAATGTATTTTAACATAGGTATAGTATAGTACGAGATGTAGTGTCATAATGGATGTACAAATGTATAAAGGTTAAAGTGGTATATGCTAAACTTGTATTTTTCAAAATTAAGTTACTTATTGATATCCTAAAAGTGAAGAGCAAGACAATCATAAAAATTTTCATAAATATTACAAGTTTTTTTGTTCGATTTACAGCTTTTAGTTTAAAATCAATCCAAACCATTCGGTTTAGACAAATTGTTGTCAAATACTACCTCCGTCCCAAAAATCTTTGTCATTTCTTCAATTTTGAACTATGATTTTGATTAGTATAATATTATGGAAGGTATAATTTTATACTTTTATGAAAGCACTTTTAACAAAGAATATTTTCATATAATTTTTATATTATAAATAATTTTCAATAAAAAAATATAGTTGGTCAAAGTTTTGAAAATGACAAAGTTTTTTGGGACGAAGGTAGTAATTTACTTAAGTGAACCCAAATCAAACCAAATTTCAATTTTTGTTCCTTGAAATCAAACCATTTAATTCTAGCCGATATTGCAATATATTCCCTTCATATTTAATTTTTCAAATATCATCCCCATTGGTATGAATTTTTGAAAATGTGGTCTTCGTCATTAAAATTGAACTATCGATGTTAGTTGTTTGTAAATTCAACACGATGAAGGTTGTTACTTCAGAGTACAGACACGAAAAAAAAAAAGTTGTAATCTTTTTGTACATTTTCTAAATTATTCCTACCATTATTATTTTATATAAAGTTAGGTGATAATTCTGTATTTCAATAATTATTTTATCTGCATTGTAATCGGTTTATATGTGCATTGTAATCGGTTTGAGGTAACTTCTTTAACTAATTTTGGAGACTTTTGTAGGATAATTGGAGTGAATTCAGCATTTAAGAGTTCAATATTGAGAGCCCGTTTGGAGACCCCTTTTTTCGGCTTATCAGGCTTATCAGCCAGCTTTTTCACCAAACACGTAATTTTTACTTTCGCGTGCTGAATTGGGTAATAAGCAGAAAAAGTAAGGTTGAAGTTACTTTTCTGGCTGTATTGACTGAAGTTACTGTAGATGACCATTTTAGCTATTTTTACATGTAATTTTTTCTTTATTTTATTAATAAAATATATTTTTAAAATATTTTTTTCTAGAATCAGCAGAATCAGCCAAAACAGTCACTTCAACCAGAACTTCATAAATTTCAGCAGAAACAGCCAAAACAACCGATTTTTATGCTACCAAACGGGCTCTGAAAAAGAAGTATGGTTACATGTACAAAAGAGTAGAAACTGCTCCATATTAAGAGCGAGTTGTTTCGATCTCTTGCGTGTGAGGACACTACTATATTAGTATATTATTAATGTCCACGAGAAATTTCAAAACTAAGTAGTAGATCGAGATTATCCGGCCAGGCAACCTACCGAACTGGAATTAGAATACGCAAGAATGGGATATACGGTTTCATTTGGCTAAAACTGTTGAGATAAATATGATTCAAAGCCCATCCAAAAATATTTAATAATCTACTTATCTACTCTATACTCTAATACTCTTGTTGAGATAAATATGATTCAAAGCACATCCAAGAATAATTTTTTTTTTTGAGTTTTTTTTTACTCCTGGAGTAATCAGGGTTGAAACTCACTCCATTGAATTTTCAACTCTTGTGTGCCTAGCGGGATTCGAACTCGAGACCTCCCACTAGGCACATTACTTTTAATTATTGTCATACATCAATACTTTAAATTATTTTTAAAAAATCAACATGATTTTAAAAGTCAAATATTGTGATGTAAAAATATACTACGTATAAATTTGAAGATTTTTTGTTAAGTTTTACATGTCTTTTTAGTTAAAATCAATAGATTTTAACACTTCAATCTATTTAAGAAGAAAAATTGGACTTGAAAACCTCTAGTAGTTAAACTTTCATATATTTTTATAATTATATATATATATATATGATGGATTGTCTACCCGGGGGGTATCTTATCCGAGGGGTTATTGCGGGAATAACTAGAGAGAAGTCAGAGTAAATAGGAGGAGAGAGAGTCAATTTTATTAAATGAACTCAGCGTGGTTTACAAGGTGAATAAGGGCTGCTATTTATAGCAGCAATAAATGCGATTAGAGTACACGTGTCAGTAATCCAACGGCCGAAGGGTCACATCAGCCGGGTGGCACCGGCAGTGGCATGTTCACCGCATTGAATGCGGTTGGTGGATGTGACGTTGCATTAAATGCGGTGGTTGCTTGTCTCCAGAGGGAATCTTTGACGATTAAGTGGTTGGCCGAAGGCTTCTCCTTCGGCCGAGGGCTCTGTGTAGCCGAAGGCTTCATGTAACCGGGGACCCCTGTGTAGCCGAAGGCCCTGTGTGACCGGAGGCTTGGTTCAGCCGAAGGCTTCCCTGATGCCGAGGGCTTGATAATGCCGAAGGCTCCTGTTTTTCCCGTTTTCTCCCAGTAGCTTCGTATGCCCAAAAAAGGCTATCCTGAGAGTTTCGGAGCCTTCGGCCAAGGAGGCCGAAGGCACCCCAGTGCGTGTTCTGGGCTCCTTTGAGGTTCGGGCCGTCGCATTTGGGCCAGAGATGTCCTCTGGGCTCAATGGACTCGTGTAGGAGAAGTAGGAGTCTATGGGCCGGGGGTTCCTGGGCCATATACTCCATCAATATATATATATATATATATATATATATATATAGGATATGAAAGGTTATAAAAAGTTATGAATTTTAATATACTTTTTATAAAAATTGATGTACTTATAACGAAAATGGGATTTGTATATTAATGGGACCCAATTTTTTTTCTGATTCGTCCAGCGTGCATTGCCTTTTTCTCCCTTTGGTTTCCCAATCGTCCAGCAAAAAGGACATGGGATGGGGTGGATAGGATAGCATTACCTAATGAGGCAATGAGCTATGCTATAGGTATCCCAAGATGACGTACCCCTTTTTTTACCCCATTCTAATGTGTAATCATAAATGGGACAACTCATTTAAGTGGGGCACCTTTAGAATTTTACTCACCTAATTCCCACGCAAAGAGGGATTGGGATTCTCTACCCGAGTAGGAGGGTGCCTTGCGCATCGGACGGGAGGGGAGCGGCCAACACGGCCTCGAGATCGGCGAAAAAGTGGAGCCCAAGATCTCCAACCGTTGAATTGTCGATTGGACGAGCGGGAGGAAGCAAGGCATTCTACCTTACTCTAAAGTAAGGTAGAGGCTCCGGATCCCGCACAGAGAGCCACAAACCCACTCAAGCACCTTTGAATACGATGGGTTGCAAGTGATGAAGTGGAAAAAAAATGAAAAAAAATGTCTATTTGATAAGTGGACCATAAAAGTATGTTAAATTTAGTTTATGTTTGCAATTAACGTTGAGGTCTAAACTATGAACATTAAAGGATAAACATATATAGTACCGAGAATAGAAATATATTTGGTCTTATACGATACGAGTGTGATGTCTTGACATTCAACGGGGCTTTCAGTAGATGAATGTAAGCCACTAAGCCGTAATGGGACTTACACGTAACGAAAACCACGTTCTCGCTGCCTTAATCGGAGTTGGAATATATTAGCGACATCTTATTCATAATTATTGGGAAAGAACTAATATTTAATCGTATTAAAGCATTTAGGTGAATCCAGATTGTCTTAGTGATTCTCATTCTTGTTTAAATCACTATCAAAGAACAAAAGTTCCTGAAAAGTTACATCATTTATATACTTTGCACTCAATACTCAACTTTACAATATCAACCATTTCCCTGTGAATCAACCTGGTATTTACCGGTATTTTATTACTATATTGACGCTTGTATACTTGCAAGTTTAGCCCGATCATCGCCTGCTGATGCTCAGAAACCCATCAGAGTTCTGGGGGGAGAGCTTGAATAAATAATGGAACAGGTCCAAGCTCAAGTCCACGCCCCTGCTAGCACACCGAACAATGAAGGCATAGACGATGTGAAAGGAATTGGGCATGAATTGAGCAGGAACGGCCTGATAGCAGTGAAACAAGTCGAGGTTGAATAGATGCAGGGGGACCGCAACCCGACCTTTATCGAATCTAGATGGACCATCACCATTTCGGTGCGCCTCCTCAAAGGTTGGGTCGCGCCGCGCATGCTATAGATGACCGGGCGACGGAAAATACAGCACG